ACTCTCAATGCCATGGAATAAAGCATTGCTTTGTATCATAGTCACTAGAGCTGGATTGATCTCGAAATTGTTAGCCGCCACTGGAGGATGTAGGATTGACGATTGAATGTCTGCCGGCCTTGCTGCCATATAGTACCCATCGTCCTCGGGGCTTCCTCTTCCCCCGCCACATCGTTCAGTTGACGAGTTTGGGCTCCATCTTGCCTTTGGTTCCCCGCCATTTCTACTACAACGACAGGTTCAACTTCCACTTCTTCAACTTCTTCTCCATTAACACCGGGACCCAACTATTGTCCCCTTCCTTCACTCCTTCTCCTTGCCTCCGCTGGCTCTCTCTCCCTTACTATGAGCCGTAGGGTTTGGTTTATGTCCTCGTCAAGTGGTAGCAAAGGTGTCGGGTTACTCTGAGTCAAGCACCACATACACACAATCGGAAAACACACCAAGTCTAGCACAAGCAAAGCATACACACTTTCACCACTGGAAATTTAAAGCTAGATTAACACCAAAAAACTGGAAATTAAAAGCTAAATTAAAAGCTCCCACATCCATCTGTGCTCTATCCCTACAAAGTTCATCCGAAAAAGAAAGAGGAGAGAAAAGCTCAACAGAAAAAAAAAGGGGGGGGGGGGCAGTGAAACTTCCCCAGATTCCGACCGCCGGAGATAGGGGCGGCACCGGCGCCCTGACGAAAAAGAAAGAAGAGCCACGCTCCAGTCAACATTAGTCCCTGACGAAAAAGAAAGAAGAGCCACTCTCCAGTCAACATCAGTACTTTCTATTCAGTCACCTCAACTGTAAAAAAAAAAAAAAAAAAGTAAAGCCACCTTCTCTCCTGTCAGAGGGAAGAGACAGGCGAAGTTCCCAAGAAGCCACCTTCCTCCAGCCTACATGCTGCCCATCCTTGCTCCACTCCCGCGTCAAAAAACGCTCTCGCAGCGGTTCGAAATCGCGCCACTCTTCAGCAGGACAAGCAGGATTACCAGCAGGCTACAAGCGAGCATTATGAACCTTTGAAGCAGTACTCTCATGTTAATAACACTCCGCGCGCAACCTCACATAGAGCCCACTCAGGCCTCTCGCGAGTGCAAAGCCGGCCCAAACCTCCGCTAGCGGCCCACCTTACCTCTCGCGCCCCAAGTCATCGATTTCGATCCGCTTAACTCGCGGATCGCCAAGACCAAGTCGCGTCCCGCACTCGCGCCTGGCCCGACGATGCGATCAGTCTCCCGCCCCCCAAGTCAATCCCGCGTCCAAAGTTCGCTCCACCGCTTTTGGCCGCTCTAGATGAAAAGCCTACCTTGCATCGCGCCTGCACAACTAGCCCGCGAGCGTGCGCTATCAACTCGCGGATCAGGCCCAATGCTTGCGTCCCCCGGCTTGCTATGTTGTTCAGACGCGCCAAGCCCATCAGACAAGGAGCTCATCAAAAATTATATTGTCACCACCAGGGTTTGAACTTGTGCTATACAATGATGAAAGTCATAAATGACAGTTAGTATACTCCTACTATCATGTATTCAACCATCGTACAGTCTTTGTATGTTCATACCACTATGGTACGCTTTCATACCATATGGTATGATCTTATTTATAATCAGTCAATACCATATGGTATAGACTCGTAAAAATTGCCTCAATTTTTTTTTCTAAAAATATATCAAAAGTGGATATAATTTTGAAGAGCACCATTAATCTGATTCATCTGTGCAAAAAAAAATTTAAATTCGGATTTAAAACGAGAGAGAAATCGTCCGTTAAAGATCAAAGGAGAAAAGATTTAAGCTTACCATAACTCCATATGAGAGAAAGGATGTTGATGTCATGCTGATGTAGACGTCATGCTGATGTGAGCGGGTTACTCATAGTTACTGACCCTATGGTTACTGACCGAATATGCTCCTGCGGCCGAGGGAGAGGGAAAATTTTTAGCTCCAACCTTGATTGGGCGCAAAAGCTCCAAGCACCCATATGTCAGTTTGTTATTGGTGGACTCACTTTTCTTTTTTCTTAATATTTAATGTTTTCAATTACCAAAACAATGTACTATTATCAATTGGGTTTATATTTCAATTTTTATCAAATAATACGATTGTGAGTAGATTACCCGCCCAACGGGGCGGGCCCGATGCTAGTAATTTTAGATGTTTAGAGATCCATAAATTTTTGGGTTGGGCCCGCCTCTAACCACACTTAACCAACACTTTTGGAGTATCTTGTTACCAGAAGTCTTCATATAGCTCCCTTGATCGCATGTATTTGCGTAAATTATCAAACTGAATAGTAAAGTCAGTATGATATTGGAAGGGAGTGGTTAAGATACATAAATAGATCTCTCAACAACTCAAGTTATTAATACGAGTTGGTTTGTGTCATGGTATTATATTTGATTTAATCATGAGGTCACATGTTTAAACTTTCATGACCCACAATATTAATAGTTGATTTAAGTCACATGGTATAATGGGCACGTGGAAACTTCAAGTCAATGAGTTAGATTTCATTCGAGGTGGCATATGTAAGGAAGTAGTTAGGATTCATACATGTACCTCTCATAATAACTTGAGTTATTGAGACAAATTGGTTTATGACATATATATATTTTATTTTTGAAATTTTATTTAAAAATGTATTTGTGATTTCACTTCTTTTAAATTAAATGAATTTATACCAATTGATAAAAAAGTATTACCAAACATAATACTCCATTTTAACCAAATTCCATATATGTCATTAAGCCAACAATGGTCGAATTTCACTTCTTGAAATTCCATATATATGACTCACAAGTTGTACAACACTTCTTTCTCAATGTTTGGAAATTGAATCTCCATTAACATCTCCCCAGATGTGGAGGTGCCATAAACATAAATGATACATTGTGGTTTTAAACACTTCTTTGATTGTCTTAGCCAGAGCAACATCTTGGTATGTGAAGATAATCACATACTCTTTCTATTGATAGCCACTGTTTCTCGGGATACAGACAAGTCCATGCAAGTATGTACACTCCATTTTTCTCTTCCCCCTCTTCCCTACTCCCCATAGTTTCGTGTCTATTCACACATCATTTTCCACTCGATGACTATCCTAGTAGATGTTCGATTATCTTTCTTGGTTTATTGTTGATGTGATTGCAAGCATAAGACGAGGATTAACTTTAAAAGTTATATTCTCAAACCCGATTTTGTAGGTGGATGAGACTGGACACAGTAGTCCCTCACGATCGATCATCAATCAATCAAACTGCAGCGACTTCATCAAGGGAGATATCCATAGGGTCACCATCCTTGCCTACTAAATAAGGTAAATGCCATATTGTATGGTAAGAATATACCCAACAAGATTCAAACTACTCATATGTATCCAAGATCAATTGTTGATTCTTGGTTGTATGTAGGGGTGTTTCTATGAATTTACCTTAAAATGCTTATTGTATCGAGATGCCTATGCATGAGTGGATGTGTCAGGAATGAAGTTTATGCATACATGTGCCTTGAATACAAAACATATTTGGAAGAAACCTTATTGCATACCTTGACATACGGAATCCATATGTGGACTCTCCCACATGTCTCGCTAAAGCATGGACCCATGATTAGTATCGTTAGAGGGAAGTGGCAAAATAGGAGAATAGTAAGAAGAGACATCCATTGTGGTTTCTCTACCTCGGAGGCACCTCACATCCACATTCTCTTTTTAAAACCACTGTAGAACTCATCCCTCACCACCTGAGTAAGTAGTTTGAGAGGCCCTAGGGGATACGATCACTCGAAGTAGGTAAATTTGGATTTGTAGTACATTCGATAAGAGGTCCATCGTTCTTGAGCTGGTATTCTTCTTACTCAACAAAAGTAAGTTGATGATATTATAGACATGGCTCATTATTTTGATTGTGTTCTAGTTACTACACCAATGGATCTTAATATGAAGTTGGGAAGGGAAACAAAGTATCTATTCCTTGATGGTGGCGAACAGTATCGCTACATTGTTGGTAGCTTGATTTATTGGACTTCGACACAATCAGATATTGCTTATACCGTTCAAGTTGTCAGTCAATTCATGTCTGCTCTTCGTAATACCCACCTCGACACTGTTCATAAGATATTACGCTATCTACAAGGGACACATGGTGTCGGTGTCTTCCTACCCCTTGACCTATTAGTATGAAAAGCAAATTAATTATCAAGCATCTAAGTAATCATTTGTGTAATCTTTAGTAGTCATATATATTTCTCTAGGCACACCACGGAGTGACTTAAAATGTTTAACATCGATTTTTTTTTATACTTAGAAATTTGAAACAATGGCAATTGACCAATGCATTTTTTTGAAAATTCGCCGTGAAACTAAACAAGCCAATCAGCTAATGGACTAGTACCATGTATAATAATAATAGTTACAAGATTTTGGCGTATAGTTGACAGATGCTAGATACTAGAGTACTTCTACTATACTATATAGTATTGGTGATTTAATGTACAACTTGAAGTTGTACCATAACATTAAATGTACAAGTTTAGGTTGTACCATAAAGGAATTTGTATCATTATATTATGGTACAACTTTACAACTTGAAGTTGTACCATCACATAAGGTACAAGTTTAAGTTGTACCATAAAAGAATTTGTACAAAAAGTATAGGTACAATCTGAAATTGTACCATAACATTAAAGGTACAATTTCAAGTTGTACCATAAAGGTAAAAACCTATAGCACCAATGCTATATAGCATTGTAAAATTCCTCTAGATACTATTGTTTATTTTTTAGATCCTTTCGAACATGTGAACACTATCTAGATACTAATACTATATGTTGAGTAAAAGAAACCCTAACAGCAAAATCTGAGTTCAACAGCAATTAACAATTGACTAGGAGTGAGGATAGGGAGAAGGGCAACTGGTTTTTGGCTTGCTGAGAAAACCCAGTTAAAAACACAGCACCGGAATCAACAATTCATAGGATGGATCAACATACTAAGCATCAGTTTCCAACAGCTTAGTCCATCTGATCAGAGTAGAAGTAGTTGGAGTGAGAAGGTGTTTGAACGGCTGGAACTGCTGGAAACTGATACTTTCATTGTCTTGTAAATCGAACGAATTCACCCGGGACTCCATTGGCACATTTTCTGATGATGAGAGCGACCGGCTCTGCGGTTCTGCGTGCATCATCGTCTGGCCCGTACTTGTTTCATTCACGAGCATAAGCTGGTCGAACGGCGCTGAATCAAGAGGCTCATTCATACCCCAGGAGGAAGTGGTTGACAGAAGAGGGAGAGCACCCCCTAACTCAGGGTTCATCTCTTGGTTACAAGTTACTGCAGACCCCTCGAAACCTGTATGATTTTGTCAATCCATTGTTGTCAGCAACGGGGAAGCAGTCCATCATGGAACTACAAGTTTGGCTGATTTTCAAAAGCATTCAAACACACCCCATAATATCAAACAAGAGAAATTATTGAGTCTCAACTGTAGCACAATCCGGTGGTGAATAGGAAATGAACCTTGATTAAAGATCTGAGGTGTACTGCTCCTGAAAGACAGACCCTTGTCCGAGATCATTGGCAAGGTAGAAGTTGAGTCATTCAATTCATTAGACAAGTCACCCATCTGCCTACTCATGCCTTCTGTTTTCGCATATCTAAGGAAAGAATCTCCTGCTTGTGCGAATTTAAGCCCACAGCTACTTGGCCAGGTGAAACTTTTAGCTGGTAAAGGAACCCTATTCCACATAATGTTCATCTGCCATCTATTATCTGTACAAATCCACAATGAGGACAATAGAAAAGATAGACAGCTCACAGCCAACATAAATTCCAGCCAACTTATCATAAACATAATTTAATTAGAAGACAACCAAAGAATGATCACCATATATTGAAGCAGACAGAGTTGAACCGAATTGGAGTGCCTCTGGCTGCGGCCTGCGACAACGTGCATTGTAATCGGACAACTCATGGAACCTAGAACCAGTTTCACAATGGAAGAGTCTCACATCAGCATACAGTAAATAAAGAGATGATAAGGGGTTGTTTGAAGGTGACATTTCTCATTTGTTGGATGGTAGTAACCAAGGGATCTGAGAATAAGTGTGATCACAGTATTAGATTGTATTAAAAAGTATGTTGTGTTGGTTTGGTTTCACGGTACCACCGCTGATTTTCAATCTCAAGATCCCAGATTCGAATCTCAGGGTGGACTTCCCCTCCTCCTATAACCTGCAGACCCCTTCAGCAACATGTAAAAAAAAGTATGTTGCATGTATGTGTAATTTTAAGTACGGAGTTTTGTTTGTGCTGTCCTCCATCCTTTTTATCTTCCTACAAATACTGACAAAATAATCTAGCAAATTTTGAGATTTAGAATTTTCCTTTGGCCAGAAGTGAAACTGTGAAATTCAACTTCTTACAGTTTGCGGTAATTACAAATCTCCAAATAGAAATTGCAGAAAATCTTCTACTAAATCAAACGAATCGCACGATAATTACAAATCATCAGCTAAGGAATTGAGGCATGAATCTACCAGCCAAATACCATTAACGATGACCTAACAGAAAATTCAGGAGTCAAGTAGTGCCAAAGCAAAGTAGCTGCTGCAACTGCATTGTTTATGCTAAATAATGAAAGGTGGACAAGAAAACTTACCTACTGCACTGCTAGCAAAACCGGCGTTCCAGACCAGCAACAATGACCTTGGGACTTTTTGAGTGGTTCTCGCATATTCTATGCCTCTAATGGTAATCTTTAGCTAACTTGAGGTCAAGGTTGCATCCTTCAACTTGACAGCATGGTGATTGTAAACTCTGACACGAGGCCCTAGTTCTCTTTCCAGCAGCAACAAAGGAGCTAGCAATCTTGGAAGCAGACACAGATGATGACTTGGCATTTCCAGGTGCGCATACATCTTCAAAGTACGTCCTTTTATCAAGCTTCAGACCAATTATTTGCTCCCCAGAGCTGGCAGAAGCATCCATGGTTGAAAAATTCTCAACATTTCCCACGATGCTCAAATGTTTCTTACTGATATAGTCAGGAAGTCCTTCCACAGAGCTCTTAGATGAGGAGCCATGTCCTGAATCAGAGCCTGAAAAACCACCACCACATCTAGGTGAGTAGATGTATGATATCCACTATTGATTCCTCCAAGTCCTTCTTCAGCATCATCATGGGTTAAGAAGTGCTTTACTTGTTTCTCAGTGCCAATATCTTGGAGGCTTGGAGCTAAACCCAGTTATGTTATCCCAGTCCCAATTTGATGCAGCCTTCAAATTCCACTCCATAACAACAGAAGTAGTCGTCACAGAATGAGAGAAATATTGTGGTTCTATCAGTATGTCTCATTTACAGTTGCCTTCATAGATACATCTACTCCAATATCTAGCATTCAGAGTTCAAAATAGCTAATTACAGCAAGCTGGAATGAAGCAGTAAAAGGACAGAAGGCTGGAAACGCCGAAGGCCCCTTTGCAGGTTGGAAACCACAGCTCAGTCTACATGTACAGAACAGAAAACATGCAAAACAGGATAAGGGTAAATTTCATCTCAAGTGACTTGAGGAAAGTTGAGATTGGCTTAAAGCACGAACCTTTAGGTTTGCAGTTGTTTCACCTTCCAAAACCTAGAGTTGAGAACGGAGATACAACAGGTTTTAAAGAGAAACTTCTGATGTTCCCTTCAAGGAAAACATATTACCAACCTCTCTTCCCTTGAATTTTAAAGAGGACTCCAGGTACCACAGAAATGAAGATGATGAAAAAAAAAAAACAGGAAACAAAGTGTCCTTTGGCCAGAAAAAAGGGTGTCACTTTTAGGCGAGGTGATTAATCTACTTTCCCATCAAGCAAACAAGTGGAATTAAATTTTTCAGGGGTCTTCAAGTGGATCTTACCCCTTCCCATTCTGGCCAAGACAATAACACTTAGCACATGCCACTCGAATGGTCACAACACAACAACCCCACCACCACCACCACCCACAAATTCACCGCAGCAACACAGGCAATAAAATCCTCTACCAGCCTCCATCCAAGCAGAATCCTACTCATAGAGCACCAAAAGAATTTAGAACCACATCAGTAAAGAATATACCATATCTGACAATCCTAACTTTTGTTGCAGATTCTTACCGTCTCCTCTCCAATCAACGGTAGCATTTGAGTCAGCACTCCCGCTATAAATTGCACCAGAACCATAGATTTCAAAGGGAAACTAGCATCTTCATTTTTTAACATACCAAAACTCCAGAACAGAAATAAAAGGTACAAAAGTTCCTAACATAGCATTATCTATAATCATCATCATTAGGACAAATATTCTGAAGGAATCAGGCAAGTAACATAACCTTTATTCATTTACGAACATAACCTACATAGTTGGACAGTATCAAACCTTCAGACAGCTGTTCGGATCCCTAGCAACTGACACTCTTATCATTCCAGGAAAGTGGTAACAACAAATGAGCTACCCACGACAAGGTTTATTTTGTGTCATGAATAGTTACTAGCCTCAAAGGAACAGTTAAAAAGAAGAAATTCAGACCACAAGTAAAGCCCCATTTACCGCATGGGGACCTCATAGACAGAGTGATCAATTCTGTCACTTCATTATCAAACAACTAAAACTCAAAATTATTAATTGCTCTCCTCCAAGTCCTCATACACCCACATGTGTTGTGGATTGATGAACTTGATCTGCCTTCCCCTAGAAAATTGTTGGGTAGATAGATTGGGCTACCACACTCATGAAGAAGTAGATGGAAACTTCATAGTCAACAATAACGACAAAGCAACTTGGGATCCATTTCACACAATAAATCTTTCTGTTCAATTCATATAGGAATAGGACCATGCAACACGATTCCTACACTGGTCCCTAACTTGTAGAAAGCAATAGCAACAGGCACACTACAAACATTTTAGACCACTAGTGAATCCTTGAATTTCAAGTATATAGATGTGAGTTCCTCGTTACAGCTACAAACACTTCTTTGCTTACATTTTAGTCCACTTGTGAATCCTTGAATTTCAAGTCTATAGATGTGACTTCATTGTCAAAGCTACAAACACTTCTTGCCTAACCCTTCCAAAAGGACCCAAGAAAACAACATTTCCTTGGTTAATGCTTACCCTCCTTGCCAAAACTCTGTAGCACTTACCTTGCTACAAATTTGAGCATCTCCGCTAGCTCTTAATAACACCTCAGCTATTTGTTTGTTTTTATCGTCAAGAGGAGTTAAGTGCCCTAAGGTGCAAGGACAATGTATAACACCGTCCTTGACATATAAACAATCTTATCCATGAGCTGGAACAGTGCTCTAGGCCAATTGGCTAACAGGCTGCAAGGCAGCTAAAAATTCTATCTATGCCTCTAGTTCAAGTTCCATCCCAAACCACAGAAATCCAATCCCCTTTTCTTCTCTTCTCAAGGAACCACATATGTTTTGAGATGGAGAGTTCACAAAGGGCTCAATCATCATTTCCTTTTCCATGACATGCACACATACCGTTGATGCCAAGCTAAAATAGCCGACCTTAAACGTTGTAGAGTCCGGAGAGCGTTGACCTTTTGGTTGGCGTTGAATTCTAGCTCTCGAGATGAACACCTGCAAAAAAAGGACCCACCGGTTGTGGTCGGCTGGGACCTTCTCCAAAGCTCAAATCAGTATTTGGAAATAACCGGGAGCGGCATATTGAGCCGGCTCTAGGACGAAAGAAATCGGGGTTGGAAGTTGCCAATTCGCCGATAAGAATTTCTTCGGGAATTCCCCTTTTCCGATCTCGTTCAGAGAAAGTGAGTTCTCTCAATTTGAGATGGATTGCCGAGGAAACATAAATGATCGTCCTATTTATAGGTGCCTCCTGCTCCTGGCATGGGTGGCGTGTCCTTTATTAATTGAAAAAGATTTTAAAAAAGAACTCACCTTGATGCGTGTACACCTATTTCATCTCATCATACTCACACCTTACGTGCATAACAAATGAAAGGGGATGGGTGGTTTGACTTTGATGGAAGGTCTGCATAACAATAGATTAATAGGATTTGGTTGTTTGGGAATTAAGTTTTCGTGTCTCACTAACAGCTATGGGTTAGTAATTAATATGAACAAAATGGAATGGGCTGCTGGAGTTATCACCTTGTGCATTTACGTTAGCTTTGCATGCATGTGATGGTGTATTCTCCCCATTTCTTCATGTGTAATTACAAAAAATAAAGTAACATAACCAATTTGGTGAGATAATTGGTTGATGGAACATATACAACCTCTTGCTACGTGTATGTAATGGGCAAAGCTGTCAAGTGAGGGGTTAATTAGAGGGACTAGGCTTATGAGTAGGTTAGCCTATATACACGTGTAATCAAAGTGAAGTTGGGGTTTTTATTTGTGGGTAAAGGTTGCCATTCACCAAACTTAACAAAGATGGCTTGCTCTTCTGTTCCATGTAAATGAGATAGGTGGAGGGAAGCAAATAAGGATTGCCATCCACGTGGAACTATGGTGGTTATTATTATATTGAGGTGGTAGCTAGGGTAAATGGTGGATGGTGATTGTTTTGCTTCCTTTTCACCTTTAGCCACGTAGGTAGTATCCTGTCAATCTTTATTTACCATTTGTCCATGTGGAAAGAATAGGTTGTGAATGACGATTGGTGGATGGAGTAGAAGAAGTGGGAAGCAATTTATTGGACCCATCAGATGCCCCCTTGCTAATATGGGTGATTGAAGATCCCACATTAGTAAACCAAACACTATAAATAGAAGGGTTTGCATCATCCTTCTAAACTCTCCATCTTTCGTCTGAGCAGAAGAAAATTCCCCCACCCTTCCATCCTATCTCATTTCCTCACCATATTCCTCCATTAATAGGCAAAGTTTTGTGAGCTAAGGAAATCAAGCTTTCGACTTCATTCCAATCGTGCATCCACCAAGCTAGGTAATGCTTTCTCCCCCAATCTATGTTAATTATTGCTTTATTTTATTTTATTTTATTCATGCATGGTTCATTTTGGTTACTCACGTAGGTTTGCTTTTTAATATATTTTTATCCATGAATATTAAATAGTGATACATTTTGTGGTAGGAGGATGGAGAGAGAACAACCATCAAGTTCTCGTGCGGAGGTCCCTACATCACATGGATTACCTGATTTGTCCATGTCGCTGCGTATAAACCCTGACTTAGAGATGGTACGTGGAAGAGAGGAGCAGCTAATCCAAGGAGAAGGATCATCAGCTTTAGGTCGACGAAGCTCATCATCATTTTCCCTCCGACCATGGCGTGGTATGTTTCCCTCCATATCCCAAGTGTCAGAGTTCACCAGGATAGGTCCAGGTGGATGCTTTAATCGGGACGCAGGTTGGGTGAATGAAACTTTGGTAAATTTTGATATGCCGCGTCATGCGATCCCGACACGACGTTCTACTTCAGGTAACCGTGGTACGGGATGGCAGGCTGTATATGCAGTCTCTTGATTACGGGCTTCGTTTCCCCTTTCCTGCATGGTTATGTGAGGTAATGTAGAGATCCCATTTGACGGTGAGTACTATGACACCTGGTTTTTGGACGCTTGTAGCTGCTTTTCGGTTGGGTTGTCATAGAGCCGGTGTATCACCTTCACCGGAATTATTCCATGCATGTTTTTATCTTCATGAAGAGAGTACGGGATGATGCCTTCACCGTAGATCTATAGCATTTGGTCTCGCAACTCGGTATGGTCGTGCACGCCGAGGTTGGGAACGTGAGTTTTTCTACTTCCTTCTAGCTCTAGGTGAAATTTCTTATAATGGTGTGGAGGTCCCTTCCGAGTGGAGGACTATCGATTTGGGGTGATTTCAGAGACATGAAGTGCGGAAAGAACACTTAGCACGAGGAGAGCTAGCTACCCAAGTGCGAAGGATATCAGAAGCTGGGCCGATTGATATTGAGACTCCAGAAGCACGGGTTGTCCTATTCTTCAGGGTCTATAATGATGGTACGTTTGTGTGTTGTTTGTTCATATGCTAGTGTTACCTCATTACTTATGTGTTATTTTTTTGCAGCCTACTCGCGTGTTAGAGCATGTATGGAAATTCAGGAGAATGCCTTATTTTCCACGAGGTTACCATTGCATATCTCTAGCCCACAGGGTGGAGGGGTGATCCGTGAAATTCCCGAGGTTTCTAGACCAGCAGTATCGACGTCGATTGGTGGTCCAAACAAGCGAGCGCGTCTTTTGTCTCCACGTTGAGACAAGAGTTATGAGCCAACTTTTAGAAGAGATTATGAAGTCGGCAGGTCGAGTCGTC